TTCTGATATTCTGGATTGGGCCTCAAGATGCCGTGGACATCCTTATTTGTGGATTACAATAACTGCGTTCCCTTGGCGGTGTTCTTTCATGTGATTCTGTAATTTAATTAATTCAGGTCAGGGATATTGCTCCCACTTATTTGCTGCTGTAGTTATTTTTAATTGCAAGTTTTGGTTATCGTTTGATTTAGCTCCAATCATATGTTCAAAATGTAAATTTAAACAGGGTGGACTTTACGGCATTGAATATGCAGAACTATATTCTTGTGCCTATTGTTTGAAACTTGAAATCACAAAACTGCTTGAGATTTGACGGGAACATTCTATGGATCCTTTGGCATGTTGTCACATAATCCATGAAATGACGGGGACTTGTTTCGTACAGTCTGACCATTATATGGAGCCTTATGTCTTCTTCCTGTGTTGCATATTGCTTTCTCATCACCTCTGAATTCTTATGTGGTTTCCTTCTGCTGTAGGCAAGGTCTTCATTGCATTGCGAAGGAGCTTTTTCTGAGCGTTTTTTCTTTATTAAAATTGTGGGGGAGGATTGAGGATGTATGTTGCAGTAACAATAAGGAGAAACGGAGCTGTGACAGAAGTTGGGCAGATTAAAATGAATGTTGGGTTCATCGCACACTGCCAACTAACGCAAGTTTGCCAGGTGAATAGTTCATCCACTTCCTGTTATTGGGCTTCGAAGGGGGGGTTAGATTTTGCAAAGTTGGTGTCGTAGATATCAGAATTTGCACTAGGAAATATTTTTAGCTACCAGCATTCGATATTGTGAGGAAGAGAGTATCTGTCTTTCATATTTTTTAAACTTTAACAGGCTGAGCGAGCTTGGATATCTCTGTGCCATAATGGGTTTAGAAAGTAACATTTGATGTTTGGATAAGGTTCTGAAACATATAACTTCATGTCAAGGTTTAAGTTTATTCTGGTTGTGCAAATTGAGCCGCTGTTAGTTTGAATACTAAAATTCAATTCTCACTGTCTAAGATAAACCCCACTGGTTTTACTTGATGTCTCTGCAACAATTTGACCACTTTTTCTTTTTTCAATCCCTTTTATTGTTGCATATTGATGTTAGTTATTTGTAGCTAATATATGTTAAATTTCATAACTAACTGTCATATTATATTAAGACAGAGTTGGCAAAATCAGTTTATGAGAGATTCTACTGGGAATATATCTGAATTGAATATGTTTTGAATGGGACGTTCTCTTTTTATGATAAATGGGACATTATTCTCCACTCGATCATTATAAACTGGCGTTATATGAGCCATTAAGCTTAAATAAGCTTTTCATATATTTTGTTGGTTTGATCGGCTCATCCATTTGTCAAAGAAAAGGCAAGAGAGCATTATGCTATTAATTTTCTGAGACATAAAGTTGCTTTCAAGCTTCGTTTTTTGCTTCTCTTACTTTGGATCTATTATAGTTTTAAAAGATTTTTTTATGTATATTTTTAAGAGAATCAAAATGCAATAGATATTTTGGCCAAAGAAAAAACACAATATATGTAGACAAATATAGTCTTTTAATCTGTACTTTAAATTGGCATTCGGAATTTGGTTTTTCCTTCATTTTATAATTCCATGTGCGAAATATAATTAAAAAATTTATAACTAACTAATGTGAGCTGACACAAATAGTCAAGAAACTATATATGAAAACCCCAACATATTTCAGAGACATTCAATCTTGTGCAAATTCTTGCAAAGAGGTCACTTGACACTTACGGAGTACAATTCTGCTTACTTATTGTTTAGATCTATTACCTTTGGTTTGATTAATTCGAGTAGATTAAGAAAATTAGTTAAATTATTTGTAATGAATATGTGTTTTCTTTCTTAAAATATCTTTACCAATCATGTATGTTAACTAAAAATATTTGACATAAGCAACTATTACAATTACTATCTTAGAAAAAACAAATAAACATAAGAAACAAAGTGAATTTGAATATTATATTTAGAATCAAATTAAAAGTCAAACTAGTTTGTTTGTAAAAACCGGAGGTAGTATATTGGAATAATTTGGATTGAGTCTCTATTAATTAGTATCCCTGTCTAATTGATTGTGTTTCACAAAAGAAAGATATTCTACAACATTTACAGTTTATTTTTTGAAATATAATATACTTCTTCAATATTGTATTAGATAGAGTAGTAAAATGAAGCTTGAAGTGATAGGAAAATGAGATCGTAACGAGATGAAATATCACGTCATAAACTTGTATTTGATATGAAAGGAAAATAATCTTGTATATGAGCTTTGATTGTACTTCAATCTAATCTAATCAGATAGCTATGTTTTTTTTAAAAAAAAAAAAATACTGTATGTGTTGTAAATTTAACTAATGGCAGTTTATGGGTTCTAAATTTAACTAAAATTTATGTTAATAGTGATAGAGTCAAGCATAAAGACACGCTTGAGTAAAATTAGATGTTTGCGTCTAAAATAAAAAAAAATTATTAGGAGATTTATTCCTTATTTAACTTGAATAATACTTTTTTTATTTAATACAATTAAACACACATACACAAATTTAGAATCTCATTTAAGCATGACAGATGGCCATGCCGCTAATGAAACTTTGATAATGCTTAAGCTGAGAGTAATTTTGATTTTTGAATAGTGCTTAGTTAGAGACAAGACTATGTCCTGGTCTTGGTGAGTTTTTGGGACCCATTTTATCTAAACTTTTGTTTATTAAAAAAAAGTTTTAGACGAGACTAAAATTGACTTTTAAAAACCCTTTCTGTATTTGCTAAAACCATAAAATTAGGCACGCCCCATGTGTACCCCCGAAGTCAAAGTACTTGCATTGTGAATCCAAACGTATTAATTATACTCAATGACCCAAAGGTTTAAACAAGGGAAGTCAATCTCCGTAGAAACAGGACCGTTACAAATCACAATTAACAACAATTAAAATTAAAATATTAATAGGAAATTTATATCTTCTCTCCAAATGAATTCTTACGTGCTCAAGTAAGTAAATCCAGTTACAATGGCAAAAAAAATTCAGTTATAAATTTTAAATGCGCCATATATAAAACCTTTTTTTTTGTGGATAATATTCCTCCTTTTTAATGAGTGCATAGCTAAGTTATAATTTTAGGTAAAGATTTTTTTTTTTTTGCCCAAATAGACGGATATTAATTGTTTCTCAAGCATAATAACAAAATTATAGTACTTCCAAAGTTCTCTTATAAATAAGAACATAAAGAAAGAGATTGAAAGATTGTTATAAAGAAAAGAAAGCAAGAAAGAAAGAGATTGAAAGATTTTTTTTTTTTGGCCAACGAGACTGAAAGAGTATTATAACTTACAACGATTTATAATTAGTTTAAAATAATTGCTCAAAGCTTATTAAAGTATGACGCGAACTCAATCTAATTATTTCAATAAGTGTGGATGGAATCTCAGCCTGTTTGGTAAGGCGGCTTGGGAAAACAAAAAAAAAAAAAGACAGAAAAAGAAGTTAGAAATTACAAATTTTAAATCAGATTTGGTAACACAATTTCATTTGGTATTGATAAGTCTGAATTTACAAAATGATAACAAATTTTTGTTGACATTCATTATTTGATATTTACAAAATTTCAGCTTTTTTTTTGTCCTTATCCCAAAAAAAAAGCAACTTATATTTATAGGGTTAAGGTGCGCCCAGCACCTTGAACTATTTACCCAAGTGCGTCCAGTGGCCTAAAGTAATTTTGGGTGCATCTAGTATCCTAAACTAATTAAAATGGTGCGTCCATATTCCAGGCTAACAGAAATGTTATGTTTAACTGTTACTTTCCTAACTCAGCTTAAAGTTGACCCCAGATATTCTAAATAGTAGACATATGGGCATTTGATATGTATTATTCTTACTCAAAATTGAATTTATTTCCTTCCTCTTCTTCTAAATAAATTGACTTTTGAGTAAGAATAATACATATCGGGTGCACATGTGTCTATCATGTAGAATATCTGGGGTCAACTTTAAGTTGAGTCAGGAAAGTAACAGTTAAACATAACATTTCTGTTAGCCTGGGATATGGACGCACCATTTTAATGACTTTAGGACACTGGATGCACCCAAAATTACTTTAGGCCACTGGACGCACCTGGGTAAATAGTTCGGGGTGCTAGGCGCACCTTAACCTTATATTTATATGTGTGTATATCTATCTGTGTGTTGGTTGCAAATTTGGAAGCTTTTGCCAAAATTTTTGGCCAATCTGACTTATAGGTCAAAATATACTTTTTTAAGTATAATTGTAAAAGCATTTAAAATTACTTATAACTTATACAAAAGTACATTTTCGAAATTGAAATACATTTTTATTCTTATATTTATGTTATTCTTATGCTTATTTCGGTATATTTTTTGTGCATCCCAATTAGTTTTTAATTTTTTATTTTTAATAATCTCTTAAGTAAAAATAATTTTTAACAATTTTTAAAATATTTTTTATTTTTAATATTATTTTTATTTTATACTTAAATTCTATGGAGTGTATCATCCAATTGATTACATAATATTATTTAGTTTAAAATTTTTTACATTACTGTAATTTTTAATTTCAAAATATTTTATTTATTAAATCTATGATAATTTAAAATTGTTATATTTTATAAATTTATATTTTTTTAAAAAAATTAGATTAAAAATGAATTACTTCTTTTAATTCATTAATTCAAACGGACTCTGCAGGAGGAAGCATCAAGTTGGGTTTAGAATTGAGTGAGGTCAATAATTAAGCTAAGTTCGCAAGGGTCTATTTTTCTCGGTACCCGTTCGTCAAACCCCGTGGGCCCCACTCCTTAATCACGCGTGCTCTAATCCAACGGTCACCATCACATCCGCAATACACGGAAGAGCATTTCCAGAGGCGTGCACTTATCCCATCCAACGGCTAACATCGTCCTGGTTTGACCCCTCTCTCTTTCTTCGTAATCTGGCACACATCCCTATAACCACCATGAAAAAAGTTATATTCATCGACCTGAACTTCTCTCTCTTTCTCGCTGTGTTTCTTTCCTCTCTCTCTCTAGTGCTTCTTCTTTCAGTAAAAATCTAGTGGAATTTGTGTATCTGATCTTCCTTAATCTGGGTTTGTGCCTGATCTACCTCATCATCATAAAGCTCGTGCCTTTGTGACTCAGTTTGTTAGCCGGCTTCTCATTAGAATTCGTTCGAATTTATGAAATCATTGAAAGCAATTGTTTATGTTATTGGCGCATGCTGGGAGTTTACTAGCTTTGAAGATCTATGCTTGTTTCGAAGTTATTTTCTCCATAATTGGTTCTTTGGAGCATTTAATCTTCTGTTAGGGAAAGTCGCTGCATTTAGTTGTGACTAGGGTTTTTAATCTGAAATATGTTCACTGATACGGTCTCGGGTCAAAATTTTAAGGAAAATATTGGGACTTGACTCCATTCTTGATGAGAATATTGTTTACACTAAGGGGTTTGAATTTCAAATCACGATTATCGTGTCCAAGATTGCATTTAACTTGTTGTGGAGGGCTTTGCTTTTCTGACTTATAATGCCTGCTGATTCTAAACTGGGATGATTATTGTACTTCTTCCAAAAATTTTTTTTTTTCTGCATTTTCTAGAAGTTGAATTTGGGAGTGAAGTACATTTCATTTATTTGTTCTACATGGTAGTGGCTTTTGTATTTTGATCAAGTCTTTACTTTCAGGAGAGTGGATTGATTTTTATTCTGATATTCTGGATTGGGCCTCAAGATGCCGTGGACATCCTTATTTGTGGATTACAATAACTGTGTTCGCTTGGCGGTGTTCTTTCATGTGATTCTGTAATTTAATTAATTCAGGTCAGGGGATACTGCTCCCACTTCTTTGCTGCTGTAGTTATTTGTATCACAAGTTTTGGTTATCGTTTGATTCAGCTCCAATCATATGTTCAAAATGTAAATTTAAACAGGGTGGATTTTACGGCATTGGATATGCAGAACTATATTCTTGTGCCTATTGTTTGAAATTTGAAATCACAAAACTTCTTGAGATTTGACGGGAGCATTCTATGGATCCTTTGGTCTGTTATCAAATAATCCATGAAATGACGGGGACTTGTTTCGTACAGTCTGACCATTATATGGAGCCTTATGTCTTCTTCCTGTGTTGCATATTGCTTTCTCATCACCTCTGAATTCTTATGTGGTTTCTTTCTGCTGTAGGCAAGGTCTTCATTGCATTGCGAAGGAGCTTTTTCTGAGCGTTTTTTCTTTATTAAAATTGTGGGGGAGGATTGAGGATGTATGTTGCAGTAACAATAAGGAGAAACAGAGCTGTGACAGAAGCTGGGCAGATTAAAATGAATGTTGGGTTCATCGCACACTACCAACTAACGCAAGTTTGCCAGGTGAATAATTCATCAACTTCCTTTTATTGGGCTTCGAAGGGGGGATGGATTTTGCAAAGTTTGTGTCGCAGATGACCTTTTGTATATCAGAATTTTTACTGGGAAATATTTTTAGCTACCAGCGTTCGATATTGTGAGGAAAAGAGTATCTGTATTTCATATTTTTTAAACTTTAACGGGCTGAGCGAGCTTGTATATCTCTCTGCTATAATGGGTTTGGAAAGTAACATGTGATGTTTGGATAAGGTTCTGAAACATATAACTTCATGTCAAGGTTTAAGTTTAGTCTGGTTGTGCAAATTGAGCCGCTGTTAATTTGAATACTAAGATTCAATTCTCACTGTCTAAGATAAACCCCACTGGTTTTACTTGATGTCTCTGCAACAATTTGACCAATTTTTTTATTTTTCCAATCCCTTTTATTGTTGCATATTGATGTTATATGCCCTTTTCTTTTGCAGGCTGAGTATTTCCGTCAGTTGCTAAAACCTGTTACGTAGTCTAGAATCAGTTGTCGTTGGTTTAGGCAGTATTTTCCTTGTATTGGCATCATTTATTAGAAGGCTGCAGAAGAGATAAGTGCTGATCGGAGGAAGCGGCCATCCCTTTTGAAAATGCACTCAGCTTAGTACCTACTTTCTTTCTTTCCATTCCTTTAGCAGCTTCGGTCCGGCTTTGAGATAGAACAATTGCCAGTTGCGAAAGACAAGCCTGAATTACTTGCCGGGGGTTTACTGATTGGGAACCGAACTTTACCATGCAGAATCACAAATATTTTTACCCCGAGAAGTTTGTACTCCCTTTGGCACCTGAAGCAGTTGACACTTGTTTGCATGCTCCTCTTGTTTCGGCCCTTGATGCAGTTTTACCTTCTGGTGCCAGGCAGGTAACACCCTTTGAAAGAGTTGAACTGCAACCCTCTGAGGTTTGCCCAAAGAATTTCATTATCTTCGATCAGACTGATAACCAAAGCAGAATTATGTTCCATCCCGCGATGGCCAACAAATTTAGTGGTCCTGCCGTGAATGTTCATGCTCCCTGTAATCGAGACTCTGACAAGAACAAAGCTAATCCTGTTGAAGGAGAATTATCATCTTTTGAAGAGGACTCTAAGGACATTGACGCATTGTTGAGCTTGGAAGGGGAGGAACTAGAAGACCATGATGAGGAAGAAGTCAGCACTGCGAGGACTAACGAAAATTATGAAAGTATCTGTGACACTTGCTCCAGTTATGGCTCAAAATCAAAGAAGAGGTCATCGTCATCTGTTCGAAAGTCTTCTACGATCCATGGTCACTGCAGCAACCCTGAAATTAAGCACTGGGAAATGAAGAGAATGATTAGGGTACTGAGAGGGATCGTGCCTGGAGGTGGTGACCAAATGGATTCTGTCACTGTTTTAGATGAAGCTGTGAGATACCTCAAGTCTCTCAAGGTGGAGTCTGAGAAGCTTGGAGTTGCACTCTGAAAATGAAAGTTGGACACTTCAATTGTGTTCCTGTGGAAATAATCGAAATGTATTGGCCACCTTCTATGAATAGCACTCCTTCCGGTCTCCCTCCTTTCTTGTTTCTGCTCGTGGGAAGAAAATCTTGGAAAGTAATAAAATGACAGCTGGAATTTCACATGTTCAGGTCATGTAAGACAAGAAAGTACATTCATTATTGTACTCTTTGTTGCTGTTTGGCATTGACTCTTCTGTTTTGCTTCTGTTTTGTATTGAGAATGAGGAATGACTGTGGTTCTTCCCCCCTCCCTAAAATTATGGCATGATTGTTATTATCAATGGTGTTTACTGTGTGAGAGTAATCATTAAACGGGTCTCTTCTCATTTACACTTGTTCTCTTTATGCCTAATTAATGGCCCTGCCTTTGTACCCAATTACAATGCGTGGAACTTGAATCTCACATGAGTATGGGATTTTTATTATGAGATTTATATTATCTCGAGCTCTTGATCCTCATGAGGTAGCTTTTACAGAAAAGTTCTCTTAGATACATTTGGTACTTTTTGTGGAGTATCTCAAATCTTTTCTTACACAATTTCATTTTTCGGTCGGTCAGTTTGAAGATCAACATATTGGTGCCCTGATAATCCACCCGCATGCTTATATATGCGTTTGATATCATCATGGTCAAGCAAATGCATGTAACATTTGCACTCATGAACTTCCTTATTGGAATTTATCGGTGTGCTTGGGTTTAAGCTGAAACTATTACACTGACAATTTTAATGGAAACGGGCCTGTTTCCATGAAAATCATGACTTAAATTATTTCCACCGTCATCCATCTGTAACAGCTGCTTCTAAGTACCCAGACCCTACTCAGTTTTTAAAGAGAGCCAATTTTTTGCAGATATAAAGTGTCCAATTGTTCATACTCAAGCTGATGAGGTCATAACTGGGTCTCTTTGAATTGCAATACTATCTCTGGTCCTAAATATAAAAACTAGTTGACTAATTTGAGCAGATTAAGAAAATAAATTAAGTTAGTTATTTGTAATAAATATGTGTTGCATTTCTTAAAATATCCTTACTAATCGAGTGTATTAACTAGAACTACAATTATTAGAAGAACTACCTTGAGAAAAAATATACAAATATGAAAGATAAAATGGATTAGGGTCTTATATTTAGAATCAAAATAAAAATCAAACAAAGTTTTATATTAAGAATCAGAGGAAGTAACTTGTAAGAAATGAACTATCCATCTTTACAATAACACGCCTGAACTTGACTAGGGAACTGCGAGTGAAATTATACTGTTATACACCCATCCGCATATGAACATTTGACTTTGCCGTTTATGTGCCAAGAATTTTGACAGAATGAAACTGATATCCATTTTGAAAATTGACGACAGAAAGAGGAAAAAATTGGTTTAAGGCAAAGTGGAGATCATTGTCATGCATGCATTGTGCCTAATGGTCCCCTCAATGTTTCAAATAGTCCTAGTGGAGCACCATCCGATAACTGTGCAATGAAATTGCCCTCACCTTTGTTTTTCCCCCCCCTTAGAAGCTTGAATTCTTATTTTCAATGTTGCTCATTTTCTTCGATCTTCTCCCTTCTAATTTTGCCCCGGAGGTGAATAGCAAGATTAAAACTTCTCTTAATTTAAGATACAAATAAAAAATTTATACCCCATCTAGTCCTAAATGCATATAGGAGCTAAATAACTAATTTACAGATATTAAAAATTATTAAGTTAGTTATTTATTTTAAAAAAATATGTTTAATTTTGTTAAGATATTTTCTTTAATCATTTGCACTGAAACTATTTATTGATAAAAACCTCTTGCAATTATTTGAAATAATTTTAAAGACAAAATAAATTGAATTTTTATATTTTCTATCAAAATAACCCCTAGCTAGCTCTTATTTTAATATTAGAGTGAGCAATTTTGTTTTTGTCACACCTACTAAGCATTAAAATACTGCTCCTGTCCTAAATATAAGACCTATTTTATAATATAATTTACACTACAAAATGGATTTTATATTTCAGATCGGAAGAGTAATAATTTGTTTCCATACAAAAATACTTGGTTCCTTGTAGTCTGGAGAAATTAAATTTTCCGATATAGAAGATATAGATTAAATATTCTTTTTTGTCAAGTGTCACTAGAATACCTCAGTCCTTGTTAAGAAAGAAAGAAAGAAAAATAACTCGAGTCTCAGACTCACTCGTGTCAGGCCACTCTTGAAAGAAGGATGAAAAAGAGAAATATTCAGAGCAGCACGGCCGACCTTGATAAATGTTTTGGGTTCACTTATTATAATTCACAAATTTACTCAAACTGAAAACCAAATCAAGCTTCACTTAAAATTAGTTTTGTTCAATTTTTTTCTGGGTTCGATTTGATTTATTGAGTTCTATTCAACTTTAAACACCCCTAAATCCAGATATCATGCTACTAACATTACTTGTTTCAATGCCATATGCCAACAAAATTTGACCCAAGATACTTAGGAATAGGCTGGTTAGCACAACATATGAGTATAGGGGTTGAAAAATGAATTTTCCAATCTGATTATACAGAAGAGAGCAATCATAAGACACAATTGGCTAGAATTAATCCTTTAAATGATACAGTTTGGACCAAAGCAAGATGAACAAGCTTATTTTTTGCCACACAATTATGCCTACATACGACCAAAAAAGTTATAAACTTGAACAAAATCACAACCATTAATAGCACAAAAATCCCAGACATCCCGAAATTTGTTCAACGAGGAATAAGTTTTATAAATTAATTTTCTGCTATTTACATTTAGAGTGCCAATACTGTGGGAAAAAGAAATTTTAAGAAAGCATACAACTACTTGCATCATTTTGTCTCTACTCTGGTTAGGATTTACATATTCTGAAGCAATTCCAACAAGCCCTCCGAACTTGGGCAGAATGAAGATACACTCGCAAATGCCCAGTGGCCAAAACGTGATTATATTGGACTCACTCTCAATGGCTGCATCAATGACAAAGCTCAAGTGACTAAAAGGTTTTTCAGTTATTTGAAAGCCAAATGATGTCAAAAAAAGCAAAGATGAGAAGAAAACGTGTGCACAGAAAAGGTTAAATCAACCCAATGGAGCCAACTCCCACATAGGAGGGTAAAAGAAGACTACTGTCCACATCAGCAAAAACAATTTTCTAGAATTTAATCATGGGATACAAGTTGAGAGGAAAATCTGATTTTCACTTGATATTTGCCTTCACTAGGCCTTTTCATGCATGCAAAACAAAAGAGGCCCCCTACTCTCCTATATTTGTTTCAAAGGCGATATTCTCCATTAGATACAATATAGATGAAATGAAACCATGTCAAATGCCCATGGTTCCTAATTTGAAACTTAATTGAACAGGCCACACAGAAAAGGGTATTTTCAGGAATAGGGCATGACAGTTGCCATATCAAATGAATTTTGCAACATGATAGAGAGACATTAGGCAAAGTCCAAAGTGTAAAATTGAAAAGTGAAAGCCTGAGAAAATTAGATCCGCAAATGCAAAATCATAGTTTCCTTGCAAGTCTTGCACAGTTCTTTTGTGCCAGAATTTTCAGACTGTCACATTTCCATGCTTAAGAAAAAATGAACCCACAAGAGCCAAGACAAACTAATGGAGGGTGAAAATTAAAGCAATGCCAATTATCTTTAAATTAAGAATCATAGACAAAAAGGACCTTATATTTGATAAATTTAATCTTTTGCTAGTACTTTATTTGATTATTTGTTTTATTTAACTACTTAAGCCAAAAGGATGGCAGATAAGTTTATTTACATCAGTAATTGTTTACTTCATAAATGGATTAGCTTAGAGAAAGATAAAGGGATATAGGGACCTGATTCTGCATGCTTGTTGCAGTAGTCCAGCGCTGAGGATTATGAACTACAACTGGGTTATCACCGACAAAAGCTAATGTACTCGATTCTTCCATTGTGCTAGAAGCTTCAGCAGGTGGTAATTCTCTCATTACCCACAGTAACATCGCTGAAGGTATTGACGAACCTGAAGACGCAGGTGATGAGACGAAGCAGCTGTTAATACTTTAAGCCAATATTAA